TGTTAATGATGTATTAATGTGCTTATGAAAATCTTATCTATTTTTATAGAGTCAAGGAAATTTTTTAGGAGTACAGGGACGCGCAACACAAATTCAATCGTCTATTGCAAAGCCTCCACAATCACCTACACAAATTTATCCTCGTTTATCTAGTCTTGAGTCTGGTCAAAAACAAATGCCATTAGGATCAGATAATAAACCACCTATTGGACGCAATCATCTAGCAGATAAGGTATCGTGGATGATATTGTTCATATTTTTGTTATAATAAGTAATACGTATCTTTTTTCAGCAAAAGGATGAGAAACCTGATCCTTCTATGTTACCTCCTTTACCGTTACCTTTTCGTGATAGAGGTCATACAATTTCTGTAATGAGTCCTGTGAAAAAATCCCGGGAATGGGATAATATTCGTAGAGGAAATTCACCACGAGTAAAAGAAACACCTAAAACTAGTATCAATCCTAGGTAATGTTGCGATAGTTTAAAATAAAAATATCTAATAATTATTTTTGTGTTTTAATATAAAATTGACATTTAAATTGTAAATTACAGTTTTGTGTTTTTGCAACTGTATCATACAGCACATTTTGGTTCGCCTTCAGAAAAACCTTTATTGGTTCCACAGACAACGGCTGTACAAAGAGCAGTAATAAATTTAGATAGAATACAACCATATGAAACGCATAAAATTGGAGTTCTTTATGTTGGCCCAGGACAAGCTTCTAATGAAATTGAAATTTTAGCTAATCAACATGGATCACTTAGATATACAGAATTCTTACAACGATTAGGGACGTTAGTCCGATTGAAGGACGTTGATGAAGGTGTATTTTTAGGAGGTTTAGATCGTAATGGTGAAAATGGAAACTTCGCATACATTTGGCAAGACGATGTTACACAGGTTCAAAAGAATTTGTACAGTTTTTTTTATTTCATACTTTAAATTTTAATTTTATATCATTTTATTAGGTGGCATTCCATGTTGCTACATTGATGCCAACAAAACTAAGTGATCCAAAATGTACATCCAAAAAGCAACATATTGGAAATAACTATGTTACTGTAGTTTATAATGAATCTGGAGAGCCATACAATATACAAACTGTAAAAGTATGTTTAATATGTACTGATATTAATATTAACTATTATTGACTGTATTAATATTTGTATTACTTTTTTAGGGACAATTTAATTATGCATGTGTTGTGATTCAACCCCTAGATCATGGTACTAATCAAGTTACAGTTCAAGTAAAAGAAGAATTAGCTAAACATATTCGACACAGTGAGCCAAAAATTATTTCTGATCAAAATTTAGCTATTTTATCTCGACAATTAGCTCTTCATGCCAATGTAAGTTTTAAAACATTATAAAAAAACATTATAAAAAAAAAACATTATACTAATACTAGTGTAATTATATTTGTTGTATTGTAGTTTGAACTTAAATTGTATTACAATGAGATTTACAGTTCTTTTTTTTTTATTATAGCTTGCTTCGATGGTTTCTTCATCATTAGAACAAAATAGTCACAATCCATATGCTTCTAATTGGTTAGAACGTTTACGACATATTAAACGACTTAGGAATCGTGTGTTGCAAGAATCAATAAATAATAATCCAGATAGAACAACTGATGACTTATCACCAAGGTCGAACAAACGTATTTATATGGATGATTTTACTGAATATACTACATGATTTAATTTTAATAAAGATTATTTAATAATTATCATTGATATAATCTATATTTGTTATAAACATATTTATATATTGATGTAATAATTAAGTATTATTTCTGTACACCACAAAGAAGATAATTATCCTAACTTAAAATTCCTAAATATCTTTATATCATATTTTATATACAAGTTTTAGTTGATTCATTATAAATTTTTAATGTTATAATAAAAAAAAAGAATGTTTATGTAATATTCTAATATAATTATGTATTGTTCTAATATAATTATGTATTCTAATATACAATATAAAATAATATTTAATATAATTTTTTAACGCTGTAAATAAATAATTCGACAAAATCTATTTCAAACACATCGATAGAAAAAAAATCTACAATTTTCTGGAATGCAGTTAATAAAAATAAATTCTATACTGTAAATAATAAAAATATTTACTTGATTTTACGAATATTTATACTGATTAATAAAAATTTTTTTGCGAGGTTATATTTTATCAGTAAGTTGGTAATAGAAATAGCGTTTAATCATAAAGGAGTTCACGTAAGAGCTACGAACAAAATCGTTGACAGATATAAGCGCCTCTAGCCACATAATTAAGAAACTCACGGGTCGATTTTTCGCACATCAACATATCCTTATAGTACTGTCAGTCTCGTTTGGTCCTGTCAGCTGGTGAAGAAGGGGAGACTGGAACGATAAAAATGGTAAATGCATTTTAAATTACCGAAACTAGAATCGTTTGGATATATGTTATGTTTTTTAGTAATGATAGTTTTTGACAACTTTTTAGTCGTTCGCCGAGAAGATATCATCGATTATGCAAAGACCAGGACAGGACCCTGTTGCCAAGGACGATGTACCTTGGTGGATGAAATATGCTGGACGAGGACTCGGTACCGTGGGTAGTATAAGTATGTTTTCAAACAAAACATGTATTGCAAAAAGTACATATTATTATAAAATGAAACTTATTGTTATCACTTTCCTTTACAGCAAACTTGTCATATTTTTCAAAATTTATATAAAAAAAAATGTATAATGATTAATGTTTTGTATACAGACACAGTATTAAGACACAATATGCATTTATGGTTTGTGATTTTTCTATACTATAAAATTGATTATGTAAAATTTAAACACTTTAAATTATTTATTATCACTACAAATATTTGTATTATTTTTACTTATGTTGTTTACAATAGCTATTACAAAAATGCTACATGACAATTGAAATTTATAGTTTGCAGTGTTTTCTATAATTTTCATGGTTTTTTGATTTTTGTGAATTTGTTACAGTTGCAATTATTCTTGGAGGATGGAATTGCTTGTCAATACTAGGAGCTTCTGTAGATTGCCTAATAAGTGGTATGTGGCAAATGGTGGCTGGTTTTATAGTTGCAACAATAGAAGCACCATGTTGCTGTTTATTTATTGATTATGTACAAAACTTCAGTGACTGGGTGGAAAAGAGACCATATTGGAATAGAGCAGCTGGATATTGTATGTAAGTAAATCATATTTTGCACACAAAATATATACATTTCTTTTCTTTCTTTCTTTCTATAAATATTAATTTATATCAGTAACATTTAGACATGATATATTTTTTTTATTTTTAGAATTGCAATTCCTTCAGTCCTCCTTTGTTTTGGCCTGAGTAGCTTGTTTGGTAGTGGTCTAATATTTGCAACAGGTGTAATATATGGACTAATGTCACTTGGACGAAAGTAAGTTACATGTGTTTTATTTATTATATAAAATATATCATATATTAAATTACAATTAGATCACTGAAAATATAATTTTGTAGGTATACACATTTTATATTAATTTTATATTAATAAATGTATTACTTTGTTTCAATTACAAGAAAACAATACATGATATTATATAATTCAGTTAGGAAAACAAATTGTGTGATGTGTTAGCATAATAATGTGTGCACATATTTGCTTATGGGTGGAAGACTAATTTTGTTACAGTGTCTCATATTTGTTTGTATTTATGTTTGAATTTATTGCTGTGGTTTTTGGGTACCTTTTATAATACATATATTAACTAACATAATTTTTATTTCATTTTATGAAAGTTGTATGAAACGTATATTATTCATACAAAGCAAGATATATCATTTTCCTTTCATTTAACATACATTACAAGCTGTGTATTGTTAAAATATAATAGTACAGTATAATATATTTGATGTAATTCTTAATTTTGTTACTAATACACAACTACTAACAGAGGAACCAGGCCCGACCCAGCAGGAATGACGTCGGGTGTGAGTTCCCCACAGGGTACTGTACCTCCTACTACAGATCATCATACAACTCTCGTGGAAGATCCTGATGTCTGGAGGCCTACATAAATCATCAAACATTCATTGCACCACTCCTCTAACCAGGCAATAATACATAAAATTTAATGTCATTTTTATATTTGTAGTCTTCTATATATCACATAGATTTTTAGATTAGATTTTAATGTTACAGTTATGAATAATGTATTTGACAATACAAATTTAATTTATTTAGTATGAGACTAAATTGTCATTCTGTGTGCAATTATGTTTTGTTAAAATTAAATTATTTGGTTCAAGTTTAGATTTTATTTAAATTAACACTTATAAATCAGCTGTAATGAAAGGCTTAAATGTGTGTATGCTACAAGTATTGGTTTATAATTTTAAATTATTTATCTATATATAAACATACTTTTAATTCTATGAGAATAACATTTAGCTTTGGATTTCTTGCATTGGAATTATATGTTTGCTTTCTGTATTTTTAAAATATCATATACTATTTATATTAATAAGTTGCATGCTATTGGTAGCTTTTTTTTTACTTATAATTTTACATACATTTGAATTTCAGCTCATAATTTTAAATTTTAAATACTATTCTTTATGGGATAGTATAGATTCTATCTGGACATAATTATAAAATATATAATATATCTAAAACACATAATAATAGATATGGAAAATTTCAATCATATTTTTATATTTCTATTGAAATTTTTGTTTAATACTTTTTATATATTTATATAATATTTTATTTAATTAATACTTTTTATATATTTATATAATATTTAGTTAATACTTTTTATATATTTATATAATATTTTATTTTATTAAAACGCTTATTTTCTTACATGTTATAGGTATATATTCTATGATACAAAATTTATATTTGTATATATACAATATTTTGTATATATATAATAGCCATTTCATAGTTTTTATATGTTCGTATTATTTTATAAATTTTTTAATAATTTATGAATTTTTAGGGCACCGCTTCGTGAAATGAGATCAGCAGCGATGAATATCGAGGTTCCTTCATCAAGTATGCAAGCTACACTTGTTGAAAATGCTCAACCAATGGGTTTTACTAATAGACCAGATAGTAATGTTTAAATTCACAACATTAATTGGCAAAATAATTCATCTTCTTGTGTGAATGGTGATAAATGTTGTATTTGGAAAAAATATTCAATAATTGAGCCTATGAATATGCATTGTTTGAAGCACTTATTTAGTTCTACTAATATTTTAGTATTTTATTATTTTCAATTTATGGTACTGTAAATTGCTTGGATCATTTATACTGAAATATAGATGAAGTAGTTAGATCATTTTTTTTCTTTCATATATAATTTTCAACACAGTTTCAGTTGTAGTTTTTGATACTGATAGAGAATTAGTAATATTAACATATTATTTACTAAACCTTTATATGTTACATTATTTCAGTTTTTTATTTGAAATAATGCCAAAGTTAAAGACTGCTGTAGAAATTATATTCTGATAGTATTCATGGGCTTGATTTCTTGTGGTCCTACTTGTCTATTGTGTGTCATAATGTTACAAGAATGAAATCCGCGAAGAAAATACATTGATTTTGGATATAGTTATTTGTTTAAATTTTACGTTTTAAATTGAAAAGTGTAATATTTTAACTAAAATAACATTTCCAAAATCAAAGCATCCTAAGATTTTAAAAAAGATCATTCATAAGTTAGAGAAGATGGACGAGTCATAACATATTTTATTTTCACTTATTGTGTATACATATATGTGGGTTGAGTTACGTGTAAGTAAAACAATCTTCCATTTCTTTTTATTTTTATTATTTAAGGTAAAAAATTGAATTAGAATATATAGTGAGGTAACAGTAAGAGATAGGTTATATAACTTTTCTTCTTTCTTTTTTGAATAGAAAAAAAATATATAGAAGTATATGAATTATATATATATGAATTATATGTATATTCTCTCTGCCAAATTATTTGTACATATATATGTATACATACATACATTTGAATTTACTTGTAATAATTTCATTTGATATTTAGATTTATATGTGTGGTATTTACTTCCATATGATATTCTGGAATCAAAAACTTCCAATTTTTTGTATTTTCCATGCTTTTGTGGTTAAATGTGAGTGATATATGACAGGAAAAAGCATTAATCAGCTGTACTGATATATTTTACTATGTATAATGTGGTTTCTATTCAAAATTACAAAATTGTAAATATATAATATTCTGATTTTTCAATAATGTTTATACCAGGTTTAATTCTATTCAAAATTATTTTAATCAAATTATCAATGACTTAGTTTCATAGACATTTTTTATTTTTTTTCTTCTTAAATTAATATCATGTATTTTTAATCGAATAAGCACTTATTTCTTAATTGAAACTATCAAATTATTCGACCATTATCTTTCCTTACATTCCTATTTTTTAATTAATTTATTTATTAATGATGTAAGACTTTCGACATATTTAACTGGGTACTGACTTTTAACGTTTGGTGATTTTTGTGTTGCGTTTGCCAAATAATTCATTTTAAATGCCACTTTTAGACATATGTAGATTATTTATGTAGCGCGTATGTAGATTATTATAAAGTTACTGTTTATTGTGATTTGCGTTGCATTTTATTGTGATTGTTTATAATTAAGTAAACCTTTAGCAATTTATGTTTATATATAAACAGTATACTATATTATATGTAGTGTTAATTAGCATAAAAAGGATAGGAGCATGTAACTTGATCATATTGCATGTAATTTCTGTACTGATATATATCAAACATATCTGATTTTTATTACGTTTATTACGTTTTATTATGATTATTTCAAGATCATAAAATCTTTTTTTAAACTGCATATTTTGAGTATAAAAAAATTTAACTGTACTTATCTTAAACATTATCTTATAATAACATTATCAGTGTTGAATATTTTTGTGTAATGTTTAATAGCAAAAGAATGATATAAAGAATGTATATGATATTAAACTAGAAGTAAATATTCAACGTTAAATAATTTTATTTCATTTAAATGGCATAAATTTTATGGAGCATTTAATTTTTACTTGACGAAATATGATACTTGAACAAATTCAACATGATAGAAAATAATATAAAAAAGAAGAAGTGTTAAAGTGAATTTTCAAACGAATGATGTGTAAAATATATGATAAGTTATATAAAGCATTTTATTGTTGTTAAATAGGACAGGAAAATTTATAATATTTTTCTGTCACAAGGAAATGTATTCAAACATACATGTCGCATGTGTTTCTGACCAATTGTAATTGACAAGAATTAAAAATCTGTAGTATGAATACCATGCATAATGTGCTGTATTGTTTAGTGGGATATGAGTAAAACTACATATCGTCTTCGAAGTATACCAAAATGTATTTATGTAGATATTTAACTTCCATCAAATAGAAAACCTATCGAAATATTTATAATGCTTAATGCACTATCACAATTTCAAGCCAATATGAAATGTACACATGAAAAGAAATAGACTTGTTTTAAATATATGTCGATTTAGTTAAAAATATTCTATTATAAACATATTTAATTTCGAATGTAGAAATTATAAATAAAAAGTTCAGATATATGTGTACATGAACCTTTTATTTATGTGTATGTATCACATTAGTAATTAAAAGAACAAGTTAATGAGCTTGATTATTATTCGTTATATACATGTATAGTAAAATTATCAATAAATATTGGAATTATGTTAAAGATATTTGAGTAGTTTTTACTAAAGTGATAAAATTTAATTAAATCTTTTAAGCTTTATTGTTACATTTCTTCTTCCTCAATAATTTTTTATCTTTATGTATTATATATTTGACATGATTCTTTTTTAAAGTTCGCGCTTTTTATATTATTAGTTACTTAAATTGTCAACCAATCACAGAGGGAGATTTTAAATGACCAATGAAAGTATGTGTTCAGAAATATTCGTTATTAGTTCGTTATAAGTACATCTTGTTACATTTAAACGTGCGGGAATTTATATTGCTGTTGTTAAAGTACGATTAAATAATGTTTTATAATTGAAGTAAAATAATCAAATGTAAAATTTGGACTCGATTAGAATAATTTGTGAGGAATTACAAAATCAAGAACGTATATGGAATAATATGGTATGTGAAGTAAATAATGGAATAAATATGACAACGATATTATGTAAAATTCTAGTGCACTTGTTTATTATTTTAATGTTCATCTAAAAAAAAAATTGATATATAGTGGTAATTTACTAAATAAAATAGAACGTTACAAATTTTACAACATATCGCTGAAATAATGAACGATGGTATTGTTATTTGTAGAATACTAGTACATTAACTTTAATAATTCAGAATTACAATTTATACGTATAAAAATGATCAATTAAGATTATTCAAGGCACAAGATATAAATACATATTTTCAAATATTTGAAAACAGTATTTAAAAATATGCAACTGTATCATTTGCTTCTTATTCGTCGTATCCGTTCATATAGCATTTTTCTATAGTCTCTTACTTTCACTTCTTATAAAGTAACATCAATAATGCAAAACTGATGTTTGTAGTATGAATCAACGTGTTCTTTCTTTGAAAAAGATTGCGATAAGGTCGAGTCGTGAAAATAAAGCACAACATAAAAAATAAAATGAAACGGTGCTCCATATGTTAATTTATATCGAGACTTATACGAATAAATATAAATCCGCCTGCGGATTCATTTTTAATATGAAACTTTTCTTAGACGTACATATATCTATACTTTACGATCATTTTTCATCCGACAATTTTTTAAGAAAATTCGATAGAGTTCAATGCTTTTAAGGTTGGAGATTTAAAAAAAAAATGTTCATAAATGCTGTGTTACAAACTGATTCTGCGTTTTTCATTTTGAAAAATCGACATTTCGTATAATTTGCTTTGATATCAGGTATATTAGAATGTAACATGTTTGAAGATTGATTTTAATCAACGATTTCAATCGAAGTATTTATTATGTCGAAAAATTGAACGTTGGCACGTAATCAGTGCGACGATAACAAATTCTTATCTTTTTCTATCACTATAGAATATTATAAATTTTCAGTAAAATCAATAACAAAAAAATTTCATTACTTGCGATATAAACGACTAATGAAGCGAAATAAATAAAATTTTTTTTTTTTATTTATAGTGATCTATTGAACTCATGGAGAAAGTTTGTTAAATATTTCACGAAATCATCTGCATTTACGTAAGTATTATAAAATTCTGAAGAGCGATGATTTGCAAGTTTCTATCTCAATTTATGAATCTCTTCGAATTGTTTTTTTATATTTTCTGTAGAAGAAACGAAAATGTCTGACTAATTTAAATAATAATCTACTTTATGTATGCGTTTAAAAAATGACTACATGCGATGCATATAAGTGTCATATACGTATCTGATTGTTGCATTTATTAATCTTGTATATATTTTTTATAATTGCACTCAAAGAAATAAAATGCACTTACTATCTGAATAATTTTCGATCAACAGCTAACACATTATGATTATGTAATGTAAATATTTTTCAAATGCATACTGTTGTAGAAAAGAAGATTTTATTCTAACAAGACAATAAGCATATATCTATATTGAGGTATATAGTGTTTATATACGACATGAAATATTAAAATGTAAAAAGAACCAAATTACTTAATTATTTATTTAACAGTTAGGATTGGGGATTTTATGTTTTCTCTATAAAAGAAAAATAGGAGAAATGAAAGACCTTGCAAAAAAAAATATTGCTTTTTCTCTTAATATAAATATATGAATATTACTTTTTCTCATACATAAATCAGTCAAACATATAAACATGTTTTAAAATAGAAACAAATGGAATACAACTGAAAGTATTTTGAGACATAGTAGGAGGGTATTAAACATAGGAGGAAAATGTTAATATAGAAAAGAACTTGTAAATAAATAATAGCAAATAATAATGTTGAAGGAGTTTTATTTGTAAATATTAAACATAGAAATAAATTGTTAGAAATAATTAAACGATCTGTTCAAACTAAGTGAAAAAAAAAAACAATTATTTAAATATTTTATTAGAATGTACAATTATTAAATTATTGATATCTTATCGTGCTTGCTATAAATACCGTTTAAAGTAACAGAAACACGAATAATATTGTTCTATCAAAGAAGATTACAAGATACTACATAATATTTATACTTGTACAAGAACAATTATTCAATCGCTTTTGGAAATAACTCATTGTTTCAGTTACTGATTCGTAGCCATTAAATTTGTATAAGTTAATTCAATTTTCAGTGGTCGAAATTTCACTTATTTTATTTTATTCCATAAAAAAAGATCTTGTTTTCAAAATCATATTTTATTAAAAACAAGCAGTATATAGTTCGTTTGTTAAG